GGGTGCCAGAGGGTGGGGGTGCTGGGAGCCCAGAAACCCAGGGGCAGGAGACAAGGTGGAGGTCCAGGAGGAGCCTGGTTTGAGCTCCAGCCCACCTTCATTGGGGTCCTCTGTAGCACCCTCGAGGCTGGACGGCTGGGCCTGGGTTCTGCTGCCACACACCCAGAGCTGCAGACACACCACCCCCACGAGTGGACCCAGTGGGGACCCCAGGAACCAGGTTACAAGGGGCCCTGGAGCGTGCGGGTGGGAGACCCTGAGCTGAAGCTCCCTCAGGCAGGTGGACGTGGGCAGTGGGACTGCGGCCAGCTCCCCCGATGGCCGTGAAGACTGGGGTCGCCCAGGTGGGGGTGGCGAGACTGCTTCCCATCCAGAGAAGTCCAAGTCCTGGCGAGTGATGGGGAGGGGGATCTGCAGGTGCCGCCAAACACCCCTGTCCAGATGCCTGTCCTGCCTGGACCCACTCTGGGGGCTCACTTGGGCGCAGAGGTTCCGGGGCTCCTGGATGGCAAGGGCCTGGGAGGACCCGTCAGGAGACTGCCAGCCTTAACAGGGAGCTCCTGTGGGGACAGCGAGCTGCACCCCAGGCTCCTGGATCTAGGCAGGGTGAGCCCCACCACAGGGCAGAGTGAGGGGCCAGCCCAACCCCTATCCCCACCGCCTGGTCCTCGGGAGTCTGGGGGTGATGAGACCCACATAGTCTGAACGGAATCTGGGTCCACAGGCCTCCGGCCAGGAGCGCTGACTCCAGGGGCCTTGGAAAGGGGCCACTGGGCCCCAGAGGGTTGCCGCTAGGTTTGGGAGAGCTGGGTGCGGTGATGGGGAAGGGTGGCTGGGGAAGGTAGTGGGGCTCTTGGGGCCTGGAATGCGAGGGGGTCCCCACCAGGCGCGGACGGGACCATGGGGGAGGAAGGGGTGCCCTGGCGTGGAAGGAGAGGGGACGGGGTCCGCGCTGGACGGGGGCTGGGGACCGGCTCCCTCGCTACCCCGACGCCCCCAACGGGGCACCACGGGCTTCCCG